GCATAATTCTCATTCTTATCTCACTTGTTTATTTATAGACGCAAAATCGACAGTCCTAACTTGCTCACAAAGTGGTTGTGATATGGTGCTACTATTTTCAGCTCGAGTTTTACAAGCATCGACAAGCAACATTCGTTTTAAAAAACCATGTGCGCATTAAATCATATTCATCATAGGGTTGTGATATGATGATAATCAACTTAGCAATAAAGCTCTTGTCGAATTGTCAAGAAAAGGAAAATCGAGTAAAAGAATAAACCTAATCGATCACACAATCCAACAAATTATATATCTAAATGAAGCTCCATGTTATAATAAGATACACAGTAATCACATGATGTTATATATGTTTCCAAGAGCAATCAATATTTGAAACATGAAGACAAGGTTACGTTCAAGCAACATAGTAGATACGCGTGTATTCATCAGAGTACTCATCAGGGTTCATGCACAAGATTGTGTAGATCGCGTATATTATTCCCGGGAGGTACCCTAAGCAAGTCAGGATCAAACAAATGAAGAACTCAACCTGCAAATTTTAAAAACAAGAATCATATTACTATTTTATTTAGGGAAAACTAAAATTTCAGATATTACGAAACAAAAGTCAATGAATTATGAAACCGAACAGTGATTGATCTCTCTATCTAACAAGAATAGATTTGATTCCGACAAAACCGGAACGCAAAAAAAACAATTTCAATCAATGATTCAAATTCCGAATTTCCAGGTAAAAAAATTGAAGAGATTAAGCTGTGATTCTCTCAGAGTTTCAAGAGAACCCATTAGAGATTTGAATTGGAGAGAAGAAAGAGAGATGAGCTTACGGTGCAACAGCCATGCCTGAGACAAACTCCAAGAGGAGGAAGAAGGATCGCGAGCAAGATCTCGCAGCAAATACAGCAACTAGACGCCATCGAACAAAGGACTTGAGAAAGCTCTGGAAACAAAACTTGAGAGAGGAGGGTTTGGTTAAAAGTCCAAAATAGAGTCTACGGAGAGATCTTCACCGTTGGTTTTATATCCAAGTGGTTGCTTAGATATGGCGTTCCTTGTTTTCTCTTTTTTTTTTGTTTTAGCCTAACTGTTGGCGTCTATTTATTGATTGCTCACCGACGTTATGGTACGACGTCGCACACCATAACCCGAATTTTAACCCAAAAGAGGAGGATTCTCGACGGTAACACATGGTTGACCAAGTGAAAAAATATTAAAAGAGTGGAATAATGTTAGTAAG